GGTCTGCAAGTGGGGATGGACTGTTTTCGGTTAAATCTTGCATAAATACTTTTAGTAATGTGTTTGGGGGTAGTGTGTCGTGGTGTAAAGGGGTTTGGCTGGGATTTTCTCCACCTAGAGTGGAAGCTTTCCTGTGGCAGCTTGCTCATCAGAAAGTGGCAACCAAAACTGAGTTGGTTAAGAGGATTTTCTCTAGGGAATGATATCATGTGTCCTTTTTGAAAGAAACGGGATGAATCAGTGTAACATTTATTCATTTCTTGTCACGTTGTTTGGGAATTATGGAACAAAATAGTTAGTTTCTGGGACTTATCATTCGTTATACCCAAAGACCCTCCTTCTCTTCTTTGTTCCTGGGGTGAGTTGAGGGAGAACTCGATGATTTGGAAGTTCATTCCGGGTGTCATTTTTTGGTCGATTTGGAAAGTTAGGAATGCAATGGTTTTTAATGGATCTTCTATTGACAGACTATCTTTGTTCTTCATTGTCAGATTCAGGCTGTCTAAATGGTTCCTAGCCAAGTTCCCTAAGATATCGATACAGAAGGATGTGCTGATTGGTAATCCATGTCTTGCAGATGGGTTTTCTCTATCAAAACACAAAGAGTGTCATGTCATACGATAGATTCCCCCCAGTAGATTTTCTTAAGATCAATGTTGATGGAGCTATTAGGAGAGATGGCTTGGGTGGTGGGATTGGAGGTATTTTAAGAGATTGGAATTGCTGCACCCTTTTGACTTTTTTAGAGAATGTTGGTCAAGGAACTTCTCCACGAGGCATTGAAATATTTTTATCATCACATTGAGAATCTGTTAGTAGGTTGATTGTATAGAGTGATTGTAAGTCTGTAGTGGAATGGATTCAAGCCCCGGGTTTAGCTCCTGTTTTCTTAACGTCTACAGTCTATCGGATTTTGACTCTCATCACTGGTAAGGTACATTCAGTGAGGTGGATTCCAAGAGCGTGCAATGGGGAGGCAGACAATCTAGCTAAGAGAGGGATAGGCTGATTGTTAGGAGTCAACTATGGTTTTCTTCTCTACTATGAAGGCTTTTATGGCAGGGGATGTTTTTAAGTTTTATGTACTGTTATTGGTGTAATGGTTGTATCTTATGTAATTTTTCCATTATTAATAAAATTCAAGGCCCTCTTTTCCTCCTTCAGCTGATTAAGGAGCTTATTATCAAGCTCCTTAATCAAGAAGAGGGTTTTTAACGAGACCTTCCATTCCTATAAAAAAAATGTGCATAAATTATGTTGGCTCATATTCCCTAAAGGACAGTGGGAGTCAAACCAAAATATGAGTAATTAAGAAAACAATAACTAAAACAACTTATTCCAAAGCATAAAAATAAAAGAGACGTTGAAGATTTATGATGTGAAGGAAACTGATGGAAATATTAAAAGCAATTGGGTTGGAAACTCAAAAATATCTTTTATTACTAATGCATAAAAAGCTTTCCAAGTATTTGGCTAAAATTGTTCTTAACATACTATTGAGATTGGAATATTTGTTGCTGAATTGCCTTCTTATGAAATATACTCAATTTCAAATAGAAAATGATAAAGAAATTATATAAATATTCAAATGCTAATGTAGCAACAGAAATATATGTCATCAAGGAGATAAGCAGCACATTTTCCAATGTCTAAAATGTATAACAAGCAAACACCTAACCGAAAATAGATTAACCTTATTACAACAATTAATATCCGTAAAGAGATAATGCATATATAAATACAAACATGTGTATTTATATATATCAAATCCAATTTGATAGCATATATAATACAAAAAGATCATTACTAGAACAAAAAGATTACAGACATCAAATTACAAGCACAAACTCTAAAACACATAATAATATAATATTATAGGATAAATGGTTGCCAAAGAACTAGCATGAGTCAATTTAAACTGTCTAAAAACTCTAGAAAATAGTTTAGAAAGCATTGAATGGGAGAATACAAACTGTCCTCGACTCCTCTCTAACCTTTAACAAATACATTCATATGTAGTTTTTTATACTGTTTTGGTATGTATAGGTAGTTTACGTTGTAATATAAGGTGGATAACTAGTTCCAAATAAGGAGAAGGTCTTACATGAGCATGCAGTTTAGAGTGGGTTATTTTTTGAGGTTGTATTTTGGTTGTGTATGGGTGTAATGAACTATGGATGTACTTGGTATTTCAGGAATAAAATTTTGAGGTACTCTTTTCCTCCTTCCTATGTCCGTCGAGCTATTTTCGTAGCTTGATGGTTATGAAGAGGGTTTTTAATGAGGCCTCCCATTTTTATCAAAATACATCCATATATATATATTGACAAAAAATATAAAGAACAAGAAGGGAAGCTTAGAATTATGAAAATGCCTTCATACCAAGGGGAAAATATCAAAATGCACGACTTGCTACATAACTTCTTCACAAAAAGAAAAAATATATAGTGTGAGAACTAAGAACATAAGAACACTGTTCATTACAAACTACATGCTAAAATTTCCTACTTCAGCATTATTTTAAGAAAAAGGTCTATTTAAGTTAATTTTAAAGCCTCATATCCTACTAAATAGGAACGATCTTCTTGTCAGCCAATATTGTACAGATACCAATATATTTGCCCTGATTGTCAGATGAAATATTTGTGCCGCAAGTCCAACCCTTTTTTTTATAAGAATTTCAGGCCTCTTTAAAAAAACCCTTCTTGATTAAAGGAGCTTGTAGGGAAGCTCCTTAATCAGCGAAAGGAGGAAAAGAGTGCCTTTCGGATTTTATTGAACATAAGAATATACATAAGATACATCCTTAAAAACACACTTAACAGAGACAGGTAAATACAAAGCAACCTTACAGCCCAAAAACATCAACACTAGATCAACCAATTCCTTCTTTAGCTAAGGCGTCAACCTCTAAATTGGTTGTTCTATTTACCCATCTAACCACACCTTCTAATGCGTTAAGCCTATGAACAATGTCTTTAATCAAAAAGGCGTAAACATCAGGACATAATTCAACCTCCTTAACCCAATCCACTGCCACTTTGCTGTCACTTTCAATAATCAAACGGTCCTGTAGCCTCTCTTGAAAATCAACAAAGAATAACAACCCCTTTTGAATCGCTTTTAATTCCATAAAGGTCGGAGGTCCCGGACCAGCAGGTACCTTGAAAGAACCTAAGGTAAATCCAGATGAATCCTTTAAAACTCCCCCTAAACCGCTCTTCTTCCAATCCTTAGTAGTAGCTACATCTACATTAAGTTTAACAAAACCCATAGGAGGGGAGACCAAGGAAGAATAGACACAATCTGATTCGAATGGAGAGAACCATAGTCCCCTAAGGAGGGATCTGAAATAAGAGAATCCTTTAGAATAGAAACCCCTTTATGCTTTGCTAGAAACCAAGAAGCAAGCCTACACCTTGCTAAGAAGAAGAATTCAACCATATCCAACTTCCCCCCTTCAAACACAATTAAGTTCCTCATTTTCCAAGTGGTCCAAATAACGACCCCTGGAATGAGAAAACTAAATCGGAGAATTAGTCTTCAAAGCATCCCAAGCAAGGAGAAAGCTTTTAGCATTAGAATGAAAAACAATCTTAATCTTCCAAAAGTTAAGGAATTTATTCCAAATAGACCACACCACTTTTTCTCCATCTTGAAAAGAGGGCATAACAAATCTTCAATTCCTATAATTCCTCTTTTAAACAGTTCTGTTTTAACAGCCAGCCTCCCTAGAACAACCTGCCACATAAAAGACTCTACTCTTGGTGGCAGCTGACCCCTCCAAATTATCTTTTTCCAAATATAGACCTCCTCCGATCCCAAAGGATCGGAAGAACAGAGATTAACACCAGATTTAACAGTGTACACCCGATCCCCAGTCCCTTTTCAAATCATCCCATCAGAATCTTCCATAGATAAAGCAAAAGTAGAGATGACAACTAACAAATTAGCCCATTGCTCTAGTTCCCAGTCATTTAAGTTCCTTCGAAACTGCACATCCCAAATCCAACCGGAAGAGCTATACTCCCCAAATTCAAAAAATTTGTCTATTTTGTTGGTGTAAATAGAAAATAATCTAGGGAAAATGAGCAAGAGAGGATAATCCAAAGCCCAAATGTCCTGTCAGAACCGAATAAATTTGCCATCTTCAACTAAAAAAGAACACATACTTCTCAACTTGGAGCCAATAGGGTCATCTTTAAAGTGGTTATTAACCACGGATCTCCAGATCCAAGAAACTTTATTTGGGGTCTTAGTTTGAAACAATAACAAAGAAGGATCCATATTGTATTTAGAATAAATAAAATTTCTCCAAACAAACCCCCTTTCATTTATTGCAACGGGATACTAGGTCATAGTAAGAGAAGCTCTAGCTTCTCTCTAACCCAGGAGATTTCAAATTTCACGAGCCCAGGCGTTTTTGAAAATTATTCTCTCCTCCTTCATCCACTCGTTGTCCGCCGCCGTCGTCAGCCACCCGCCGCCACACTCCGACCTCTGTTTTGGACGCCGTTTTTTCCAGGAAGATCGCCGACCCACGCCGCTTTCCTCTGTCCGTGCTCAACACCGCCTCATCAACAAACCCAACATCAGGGATCTAGGCATCGTTTCATCAGGGAGAGACTTAAACTCAGTGGATCTTGGTCGAGGCCCTTCGACTAACAGCTTGTCGGCGACGCTTCTTCTTTTTCGACGACGGCTCGAATCATCACAGCAGTAAAGCCATAATCTTTACTATCTTCCTCTCCATGCGGCTGTTGTCTCTCCACAAAGCAACCAAGTTAGCCACGTTCGCCGCCGATCTTTAGCTGCTGTTTTTGCTCTTTCCATCACCCTTTCTTCCTTTGCTTTTTTTTAACCTAACCCATCTTCCTCCTCCTCCTCAGTTAAAGAAAAGCTAAAGAATGAGTTCCCAGGCAGGTGTTGCTACCCCACACCATTACATTTCCTCTCAGCAAAATCCAAGGCAAGATGCAGAACAGGCTTCGATTTTGCAGTCTGTGGAGGCGGGGATTTTCAATTTAAGAACTGCTATTTTGGCTTTTGATAGCCTTGTTAATTACCTCGGTACTCTTAAAGATACCGTTGAATTACGCGACAAATTGCATAAGACAAGGCTTGATATTGAGCAATTGGTCGAAGAGTCTTCAGCTAAACTAAGGGAATCAAGAGAAGCTGATCAAGATGCAGAACCCTTAAAGAAATCTACCGATGACAAGCTTGCAGTAGATTTTCAAGAAACTCTTGAAGACTCCCATAAGGTTCAAAGGCTTGCAGCTGGGAGGGAGACAGTAGTTTCAACTGCTGTCCCCGAAGAAGTTCTTCCTTCCAGTTACGATGTTTATGAGCTGGAGAAAAATCCATCCAAAAGTCTTGCACATCAACAACTTCTGGTTACAAAAAAAGTGGCCAAGAATCGTGAGGAAGAAGCTGAGAAACGGGCTAAAGCCACAGCTCACAGGGCTAAGTATGGCCGTCAATCCAAATCTGGGGAAAACGAGATCAAAAAAACTTTGAAAAATCCAGTTAAGAAGGCGAATCGTGTGGAGATTTTGGTGCCGAAGGTGACGGAAGCTGAGCTACATAAACATACAGAGGAGCAACAGGCGCCGACGTTGAAGAAAGTGGAAAAGGAGAAGGAGAAGGAGAAGGAGAAAGAGAAACATAGTATGACTGCGGCGGAGGAAGAGTATGAGAGGATGCTGTTGGTGACAAAAAAGAATAGGGATGATTTCTTGGTTAAAACAAGGAACGTGGAAGAGACATCTGCGCAGAGTTCTAAGGCGGTTAACCAATCACCCAATCGCCATGATTTTAATTACTGGTGGAAGAAAGACTATCCAAAAATCAGTAATGGATATGGATCTGGCTGCTTTACGTTATACATTGAGAACTTACCAGAGAAGATCCATTGGAAGAGATTTGGATCTTTATTTTGTCCATTCGGTCAGGTTATGGATGCTTTCATTCCAACCAAAATAAATTCGAAGGGGATTCGTTTTGGATTTATTAGCTTTGCAACAATTGGAGAAGCCATGAAAGCGATCTCAATGATGAATGGAGCTCGCATTGATGGTAGAATAATTGAAGTCTCTTTTGCTAAATTCAACCCAAGACATTCTTTTTGGAGAAAGTCTTCGTCAGTTGTTCATCAAAAGCCTGAGAGGGAAGATGTTACAAGAAATAATCTCTATTCAGTAGACGGTGTTGTTGACCAAACTAAACTTCAAGTTTTGGATAACTGCCTAATGGGGTGGTGTAAGGACTATACCAAGATCGGCAATCTTGCTAGCCAAATGCAAGATAAAGGACTCAATGGTTTCTCGTTAATGAGAGCTGCTGGGAATGTAGTTCTCATGATATTCGAGGACTCTGATATGTTGAATAGGGTGAAGAATGAACAATCAGAGACTCTTGCTGAGTGGTTTTCCAGAGTTGAAGCTTGGTCGGAGAGTCTAGTTGTAGAGTGCCGTCGAGTATGGGTAGTTTGCGAAGGGATTCCATTTCACGCGTGGAATTGAGGTACTTTCAAGAACATTGCGACTAGGTGGGGCAAGTTAATATCAATTGATGAAAGCTCTCAGTTTCCTTCATCTTTTGATCGTGCAAAACTTCATATCCTCACAGAGAATAGAGTGAGAATTGATGAGTTGTTGAGTTTGAGGGTCGGTTCTAATTTTTGTAAAATCATGGTGCATGAAGTTGAGACTTCTTTCAAACCAATCTCTTGGATCCCTGAGGAAGTCGAAGATTCTCTAGAATTAAGTGGCAAGGATACTTGATTGAAGGGAAGGGAATCTGGTTTTGTTTCATTGAAGATAACTTATCGAGCTGACTTTTTTGGTGATTTTGAATCTTGTTGGTTTTGTTTGAGGTGTTGTTTTTATGTATGTCATGTCAAAACTGTGGGGTTGTTTTTCCTTTTGATGGAGGTTTATCTTAGGTATAGGGTGATTGCCTCTTGATTTTTTTGGTCGAGAAGGCGAGAGCTTTAGGTGATTATGTTTTTTTAATAGTGTTTATCCCCGTTTGAGGATATTTCATGTTTTCATATGTAATGGGTGTTTCATTCAATAAAATATGAGGTACTCTTTTCTTCCTTCCAATGTTCTTTAACATACTTCTTGGTATGTGGACGAATACGAAGGGAGTTTTTAATGAGACCTCCAACTTCTATAAAAAAAACCCCTTTCATTTGCATACCTCCAAGACCATTTTTCTAGAAATGCTCTATTCATCAAGTTAAGATTTAACACACCCAAATCCCCTCCATCTTTGATTTACACACATTTGGCCAGCTAGTCCAGTGGACCTTATTTTTACCATTACCCCCTCCCCATAAGAACGTGTACCTTCATCATGTTCGTGTACTTTGCCATGTTGTAATCATGTTTAGGGTACCTTATGTTTTAATAAATTTTGACAAGCCAATAATTCATATGACAAAGATTTTGAAGCACTGATGTAGTAGTTATTTTTTCATGTAACCATGTTGGTGTCTAAGATTCTCAGGTCTGCACAATAGCAGAGAAGCAATCAGTAGAACCACTGAAGCAGCCAAACAGTCCAATACAACAACCAAAACTTAACAGAGGAAGCATAAAGAAACAAGCACATTTTTAAAATACTAATTAATACGACAATGGAGTAACAATTGAAAGCCCTAGTAGGTTCGACCAAACAGTACTAGACTGAGATAAACCCTAACACGAAAGCATTTTTCAGGAAAAATTAAACAAGTAAAAATTATAAAGATAACAGCAACCATAACAATAACTCACGGGCTCAGAGTCGAGTTTGATAGAATGGCTGATGGTCGTTTCACCAGACAAAAGCTGGTGAAGCCTTGAAGGCAAAGTCGATCTTATATTCGGCATCTCACTTCTACTTCTCTACTTTCAATAGTTACAAAAACAAAAACAAAAAAATGAATAAAACATAAAATCATACCCTAAACTACGAAAATCAAATATTGCTAAATAATCGAAAATATTCAAAGCAGATCAGATATTAGATTACAATAAAATATAAAAAAAATACTAATAGTTCAAAAGAACGAGAGAGAGGACCTGAGGAAGGAGATGGAGAAGAGCGATGGATCCTTACACATCCAAATTATAGAACATGAAATTCAAGAAAATTCGAGAGAGATTTTCGAAGTTAACGATGAAACAGAAAGAGAAAACCCCCAAGAGCGAAAAAAAGAGCGGAGAAATAGAAGAGGGGCGGAAGCTATGGTAGTTGTGATTTTGTGGGCGACTTTTCATGGTGTGTTTGTTTAAGAGGAAACTGAAGGCACAGGGGTCAAAAGGTAAAATTTTAGGGTCTCCGATGAGTAAACTGAAAGAAAATAAATAGTAAAAGTATTGAAATATAAATATGTAAAAGTTTTAGTGATAGAGAAATTAACACTGCTATCTTACAGGGATCGTTTTTGTAATTAGGTTTTTGTTTTCACCCTTCTATGTTACTTTTGGTTAATACATAGGTGGTAATTAAATTATATTAAAAGTACAAATAAAAATTATAGTAATAATAGATGGTGGTTACGAATGAAGAGAGGAAGAATGGAGGGACATTTGTTGGCAGTTATGGGTCAATCCGCAGAAAATGATCAGGAAGATGATGAATGAGAGGGGAATTATAATGGTAATGATCGAGGGGGGAGGGAGATGATGGTTTGTTGTACAAGGAAGCAGAACCGAATGAGTCTAATTTGAAAAAGAATTTGGAGAAGAAGGCCTTCCGGTTCAAAATTTACACCATGTGAATGGTATGGTTCACGGAGATGACAGACGGGGATAACCGAGATGACCAATCCATTGTTGATGGACAATATCGTATCGACAACATCAACTACTTGGACAAGAGATTAAGGAATTGAGGGAAGTTGCAAGCATTTTTAACTTCTATATCTCATTTACGTAGAAACCATTTCATGTCGGTACCAGAATACAATCTAGATCAGGGACATCTCGAACTACCAACACCGGGAAGAACCACCACCAAGGTACTTCTTCTACTTTAGCTAACAGTGAAAAGCTTCCCAACGGAGTAAACTATTAGTTGGGTTCTTCCGAGGATTCTGATTATCCAACCTTGTACTTCTGAATATCAAGTCAGAGGGATAGAATTGTAATCAAATCAGACAGTTAATGATTATTTTGTAATTTAAGAAATCTTAGTTATAAAAACTATTATTTTAATACAGATTAGATGTATCAAAATTTCTACAATACATATTAATTTATCAAAACCATATAAATATAAAATATTTTAGACGTTAACACGAATAAATGTGATAAGAATGCGGATTTTAATATTCATCTGAAAGTGAAAGCAAATGGTGAAGCCTATTTATCAAGAAAACAGAAAGTTATAAAGATTCAAGGAAGTCACCTAAATATTATTGGCAAAGTTGCATTTTAAATCCTTGGATAGCATAACCGACTCTAGACATATTTAAAGTAATCCTCGTGATTATGGATGAATTTTTATTTAAAAAAAATCATAGTTGGTATAAATTTAATGGAGTTATTTAATTTCTAAATTAATTCAAAATTTAAATGGATTCTTTAAATCGAGTTAAAAAATATCATAATCTAAATATTTAAGAAAATATTCTTCTAGCCGTAACATTTATAGGATAAGAACTGCACAATCGATGTTCTGGTTATCGTGTTTGTAATTTGCAGGTTGAATTAGTTTTTTAATGGCTGGAGTCTGTTCCATATTTTGGGATTTTTGCTTCTTTGGGTTGGTTCTTATAACAAGTTTGTTGCCTATAAAATAGCAATACAATTAGGGGAATTTGGAGTACTAGTTAAATAGTTATATTAATTAATCATAGATGTTAATTAAAATTTATAATATATAGATCCAATTAAAACACAATGTATAATTACGGTCATTTTCAAAATTCACAAAAAAGTAACATTTTAAGTTCACAACCATGATTAAAGTTTTATATTTTAATATTGTAGCATTTTGGACTTTTAAATTGAATTCGTATGCATGATTCATATATTTGTGTCTTCTTCTACTATTCATCCCAAAATTAGATTTAGATTTAACCAAAATTAGATTTTCTAAATCTAACCAAAATTAGATTTGACGAGCACAAATCGAACACTGCTCAACTCGGTCGATAAACACCCCTACCACGTAATTCACAAGCCAATGCATGCACAACTTCCCTAAGGGAGTAATGGTAGTCAACCTCTTATGGGATTAGGTATTAACATGTGACGGACCTAACTTTGATATAAGATCACAAGGACTCGCATTATATTCGAACATGAGAAAACTTTAAAAATTGAATGTACCATTATCGACAAACACACATAAAAAATGACATCGTGTCTGAATAACATAGATATAAATCATTATTGTCATAAATAAATAAATTTCATCTTTTTGTTCTGAAAATTTTCACCTCCGTAATGTTATAAGAAAGAAAAATAAAATGAACGAACAAAGAAAAAACTCATCCATAAAGGTTGATGGCTTACAATTAATATATATACGTAATATATATGCCATCCAATCTTCAGTCAACCATCCCCTTACACCACCATCAGACCCAACACTGATTTGACATTTCATTGTGAGAGCAGCTTAGAGTCGCATGCTACTATTTTGACTCGACCAACATTTTCCTGAGAATCCTCGTTCTTAAACAAAGCATCCTGTAAGATGAAGGTCCAAACATTGTCACAGAATCTATAAGTGTGCAGATGTCCCTGTAGCATAAACATACAAGACAATATCAGCATTCAAATGCAAATAACAGCACAGGCTTTTGCCTGGCAATGCTTAGTCGTATATTGATTTAAGGCCCGTTACTAAAGAATACATAAGCCCACAAATAATGTATTTATGAATGGTGACTGGTCAAAACAACTAACAACAAACCTATACTAGTCAGACTCGAGTGTGAATCCCAGATAGAAGTACATATCCAAGGTGAACATGCTTATTTTTTCAAGTTTTCATGTAGTTAGAGTCCTTTGACGGACATATCCTTATCTCCATATACGAATATACTTCAAACCTCAATAATTAAAAGAAAATAAAGTCAAAGCAGCCTAGTGGAAGAAAGCTAAAAGTTTAGATACATAAGAAAAGAAACACGATTTAGAAAAAAATACCGATGAGCAATTAGAGGAGCCATAGTGCCAACTATCAATTTTGACTGTTCTTGAAAAGTAACGAAATACATACCAAAACAAAGATACATTAACATGTATGATAGAAAGGAACTTTTTCAAACAAGTAAGCTCTCCACAAGTCTATCATTTCAGGTCCCTGAAAATGTTTATCTAGCATGTATACTAAAATAACCCAATTTTTTGGCATAACAGAAGGTTTGAAAATATAATTAAGATGTGTTCACTCTGCACTTCAAATCATCAACACTGATCCTAGTAAACATTTTAGAAATATGAGAGCTATGAAGCATGGACATTTCTGTCAAGGAACTGTCAAAGTGTTGAAGATGTATCTCGCATGAACATGACTCCAACATGATGAAAAATATGCCATACATGCGAGTATACACGCAAAAAAGAAAAGGAAGCAATCATGTGTGCTGCTTGCTAGTACTCTCGTCGTATAAATGCAAAACACGCTTGCTGAAGATAAATAGTAACCAGTTATAACCACAACTAGGTACCATATATGCAACTCTACTACCATTACAATTAACACCCAAGCTAGATTTTGATCCCTGCAAATACTTGTAAAATAAAATAAAGGGGTATTTCACCATTCACGGATGGCGAAAATTCTCTCTTCGAGGATGGGAAGACACAGGTACTACATTAAAAGATAAGGTTAAAATTGCACTTAACTAACAGATCTAAAACAAAATATTTTACCACAGTTGTTCATAGAAACAACAGATCACCGCAAACATAGAACACAAAGATCTTCATTTTCTACTAAAGTAAAAAGAATGTACCTTAATGGAAACCTTGCTTTTCACTTGACTTTCCAAAGCTTCAGTCATAGACTAAAAAATGAGAACAAAATGAATAAAAATGATCAAGGAGGGAAGGGGGAAAGAGATAATCAAAACAATGTTGTAACAATACCTTATCGAACGGGACGAGAACCTGAATAGCGAGCTCAGGGCTCAGAGTACTGCTTGAAACCATCTCATCCAAAGTCTCCGTCAAACACATCCCGATCGTTGACCTCCGATAAAGCTCAAACGTCGCCATTATTTACCCGATCTGCGCAAAAACTAAAAAGAAAAACTGTAAATCTCGATATCGAAAAAAGTTAAAAAAATGATAAAAGTAAATTTAGTATATGATTTTTGAATGAAGAAACTACGAAATTTGGAGCCAAAGCGATTGCGGATGTCTGGAAATGTTGGAGCTTTTGAAGAATTTTTCAGGAGCTCAACGTTCAATTATGGTGGAAGGGGAAATTATTTTTCGTTTGGGCGGAGACGATTTGGGGCATTTTATACCCTAGATTTTGTAGATGAAGGTATATATAGAAGCGATTGTCTGGGATAAGTGATATGACGCTTTTGCCCCTTTTCTCTCTTTATGAGGCCCGGATCCCTTCCTCTCACGGATATAATTCAGTTATAGCCCACGTCATTATCCATATTTGTTATTTCCTTTTTATACCCTCTTGAGGTATTGTTTATACATTATATTCTATATAGAATAATTATATGAAAGGTGTACGTCAAAAAAATATTTTTAATATTTGATCAAATAATTATTCTTTTACATAATTTTTAAAATATTAAAATATCTTAACATTGGTGAAAATACTCTTAATGTGGGTTAAATAATCATTCTAATCCTTATATTTTTGGATATTTTTATCATAATATTTTATTTTAAGATAAAAATATATATTTTGGAACATTGACTGTTTATTGACTAATAATTTCTATCAATGGAGTGGCATTTTGTCCCTAAAATAAAATGTTGAGAGCTAAAGTGATCAAAAAAACTTATGCCAAAATAATAATTTTTTATTAAGATCAAAATAATTATTTGATTAAATATGAAGGATATTTTTAACACAGTAATATAAAATATAATTATTATCTTAACAATAATATTCATCTACAATTTACTTTTTACTGAAAAACACTAGGTTGCTATTTATTAATTAAAGTTAAAGGAAACACCAACCAAGTCCAGCTGTAGTCCAACAACGAAGTACAAAAAACGGAAACCCAAAACCAAATGAAATAAAAGAAAACGAAAACCAGAAAAGAACACAAATCTGGAAATTTCCATGGCTGAGCAAATTGGCCTTTATTCCCCTGTAAAAGATGAATCGTCGAACACTCTTCAAGGAAAGCAAAGAAAACAAAACCGTAGATCCTACGAACAAAGCTTAGTAGAACCCCCTTCATCTAGAGAGGATTGAGCTACCTTTGATCGTCCTCCGTCTGGAGCAACGCCTTGCTTGGAGCTTCTTCAACCCAAAATGTATCCTCATTGTTATATGTGGTAATTGACCCTAGTATGTGGATAACTTGATTTCCAGTCAGAGGATGATGAGTGATTTATTTTGTTATTATTTTATAATTAATTACTCCTGGATGTTTCTTTGATATTGTTGATTTGGATTGTTTTATTTCTTTTTTTATGTAGGACTTTAATATCCAGAAACAACGTTAAAGAAGCAAGTTTTACAGCATTAAAGAAGCAAGTTTTGCATTTTTTTATTCTAGAATCGAGATTTGACACATAAACTTGACTTGAGATATGACAATGTTCAACGTATAAGATTCTTATAGTTCAATTAATAGCAACTTCCAGAAGGCGACCCAACCAGTACCTTTTAGTAGGAAGGACGAAAATTTCGTAGGATTTTAATTTGCATTTGAATTTAAATTTGACAATTATCACTTGCTTATTTTTAGGTTTTTATTATTTGAATGTTTTAGAATTTTATCCTAAAAAAATGATTATCTCTTATTATCATATGTAATGAGATAAAGGAAGATAAGATAATAGACGGCCCTTAACACCAGGTTAAAAACAACTTCCGTAAAAGACCTCCGAATTATAAATGTCCTGGAACTCGATCCCACGACCTTAAAGTTAAGAATCTTGTACTCTACCAACTGAGCTAGATAGTCATCTCATTTGTTTTCATTTTATTTTTAGGGTCAACATTATCATTTGATCACAATACAGATGAGTTTGTCCATAAAGCTGTATGATTATTGTTTGAGTGCTTATTTATGAAAACTCAAGGTTCGCCTTTAACATCTGAAAATGCTAAGGAATCATCTGATGAGGCCGCATCATCCGCTTGATTGATCATCCCGGAATCGATATGCTAAGAAACATTTGATGAGGCTGCATCATCCTTATGCTTGATCATCCCAGAATCGACGAGAATCGGAATCTCTGCAGCAAGCCATGGAGCAAGACCCAAACAAAGTGCATGTGCTATACCAAACCTAGGACTGCACAACAAGATCAAAGAAGATACAAACATTGAGTAACAATTCCAGAAGAAAGTGTGTGATAAAGCAGAGTGATAGAACTGTTGAATAGCCGACATCAATAGATACTGTTGTTTGCAAAATTCATCCACGAGTGGGAACAGAGGTGGATAAAGCGGTGTCTATCCCTTCTGCCCCATGGTTAGCTCAAAATTGTCCTCTATATCTTCCTTAAACCGTACATATTAGACTGTGTCACCAAGAACTAACATTTGGTACTACCGGTTAGACTGTCGCCAAAAACTAACATTTGTTAAGATCATTTGCCTGAATTGGACAAATTGATCGTGTTCCTTAAAGGACAGATAATTTTTTTAATCCATGAAAATGAGCATCTGGAAATAGCTCAAGGATGATTTGTGTATGCAAAACCAAAAATTTTTTGATAAAATTTTATGAACACAGACACAATGTCATGTAAACTTCCTTTATCAAAGGTTTCATTTTAGATTTCAGATTCCATCGACACCTACACATTCAAGTCACTTCTATTCTAGAATTGGGATTCCATTTCTTATCAAAACCTAATTTATATTGCTCCAACTCTTTATTTTGTTACCTGTCAATCTCATAATTGAGCAAGGGTATGGGTATCGCATGATCCTCAAAGTACTCTCCTGGGGGGAAAAAATCAATCTGACTCCCGAAGTACATAGAACCGAACAGTAGATTCATAATTGTAGACTTCAAGCGCATATAATAAAATAAAAAACAAAAAACTTCTACTTTCTATATCACTAATATCCTTCCAAACTGAAATAAATCACGAGAGCATACAATTCAATAGATTAAATCATCGAAACTACCGAATTCAGAAAATAAAAAGAAACCCCAAAATTCAGCATACCAATTTTTTGCCCAAAGTGGCTTGAAATGCACGGTCAAGCAAATCTTCCCTCCTCTATACATCTACCAAAAGAAAACAAAGTAATCAGCAAACCAAGCAATTAACAAAAGAGAAAATAAAAATCAAAGGTTCACCTTCTGAGTCTTGCCATCTAGTTCGGGCAACTCGAGCTCGGGAGCAGTGGCCGGATAAGTAACGGGGATATCAAACTGGAGATCGAATTCGTACTTGAGAAGGTTATGGACGTACCAACACTTGCCGGTCCAACGAGTCCCTTCGGGATTGGCGGCGGATATCCGGAACCAATCGTTGTCGTTGGACTTGTTCATCTGCGTGTAGGCGATCAAAGCTCTATACTCCTCTTTCAGCCGCTGAGTCCATGTTGAGCCGTCTCTGGGACCCGCCTTCGTCGTGAGTAGCGGGATCTGGGTCAGCGTCGACTTCGTGTTCGGGTCCCAGCCTTCCATTTTCGAGTTTCACCTCTTTTGCAAACCCTAGAAAATTTACCGGGAGTCTAAAGTATGGCTGCCTGCCTGTCAAAGGTTCTGCTATTATTCCGCGGGGAACAAAAAAATCTGTTATTATACTGGATCAATGAGGGTAGAGATGGAAATTCAATTATTTATTCTTTCGGTAGATTACAGACATGCCACTTTATTGTTAGCAAGTTTCCATTTGGGTCATTTTATTTTAAAATGTTGCAATTGAGTTACTTTAATTGAATGTTACACTCAGTTCATTGAATTTCAAACGTGTTTTAACTTTTGTAGCTTGATTGCTATAATTAATAAATCGAATGATTTTATTATAAATTTTAAAATATGATTATTCAATTATAAATTTATTAATAACAAAATTACTGCAATGCAATTTACTCTTATTCTTTTAAGCTTATGGTTATAAAGAGCTGTCGCAACCGTCTTTCGGTTGGGCTTCGGAATTGGGCTTCGAATTAGGAAAATGTGGATTGGAGTCACCACCGACCACTTTAAAACGAATTTAGGTGGGTCGGACACCATTTTACCTGATCTGCGTTGTACCAGAAACGTGTCGAGTTCGGGAGTCGGTTATGATCAAGGAATGATTAGCACCCTTGAACCGTCCTTTCGGTACCACATAATTTCCAGTTGTCTTAAATTAAGAAAATTATAATTTTAAATAAAAAGGTAAAATTTGATCCTGATTACTTACCTTAGATTGATTTGAAAATATCCTTAAAAAATCGAGAAATGTGTTAGATAAACAGGGTAAAGAAAACAAATAAGATAAAGAGAATAAAATAAAAGGAAAAAAATAAAATAAATAAATAAGATAAGAAAAAAAATAGTAAAATAATAATTATATATAGTAATATTTGAAAAAGGAATATATATATATATATATACATCAAAGTATTAATAAAATAAATAAACTATATATACATACAACAAATATTTAAAAATAGAAAAGTTACCCTCTCACTTCACCGAAAGTGGGGGGCTTAAGTCAGAAATAAGAAAAAAATAGGAAAGTGTGAGAGACTTTAGTTAGAAATAATAAAAAAAATGGGCACTCTAAGTTAGTAGTATATAATATAATGTTTAATAATAATAATGATAAATACATAAGATTTTTTTTAAAAATAATATAATAATGAATAAAAAAATGAAAATAATAAAAATATATATATATATATATATATATATATATATATATAAGTTATAAGATATATACGTAAATAAAGAAATAATCAAATAAAAATAATTATATATATATATATATATATATATATATATATATATATATATATATATATATATATATATATATATTAATAATAGGTATATAAATAAACTATTAAAAGTATATATATAACTAGATAAAGATAATTACAATATATATAGTAATAATAGACTTATAAGTAAAATATTAAAGAAATATATATATATATATATATATATATAATAAAATATAGTAAAAAATCAAATGAAAATAATTTAAAATATATATATATATATACGTATAATAATAACATGAATAATAAAAATAAATGAATAAAATATCCATATAATAAATAAAGGGACTAATATAAATTTTTAAAAAGCTCTTACCCTCCTTTAACCGAAAATCAAATCGGTTTTTCAAAATAAGCCTCGGGGAAGCGTAGATCTAAGAGAAAAGATCTCGGTTCCCTTGTGTTCATCAGCCATTTCAAAGTAAAAACGGAAAAGAAGAAGTGAAACAAGCCGCATGCAAGCGAGAATCGAAGCAATATAGGTAAAAATACCTCTTTTATTTCTCTGTTGAAAATTACAAGGAATCTTTGGGGCTTATTGCATATTTGCTTTGGGTATTTTTTTGTTTGCGTAATCCCGTATGATAATCGTGTCCTACAAATGGGAAGGATTACATGTATTTATAGTGAAAAAAACTAACTAACAATAGAATCCTAATGCAACTAGACTCCTTGCTCGGTTGTTGCACCTTTGTTGGTGTGGTTGTTGCTTTAAAAGATATGGTGGTGGAAGAGTCCTCTTAGGAGATGAACTCTTGCTAGTTCTATCTTTTAAGAAAATTGATGTCTACAGCTATGGCGACTCCGCTGGGGACACAGGTAAGTGAGTCAGGCTAAGGTAATTTCCAGTTGTCTTTTTAACGAAAAGGGTAAGTTTAAATTTTAAGGTAACATTTCGATCCTTATTACTTACCTTTGATTATTTTTTCGAGTAAATAGTTGAACTGGCCGTTTTCTAGTGATTTCAACTTTCCAAATTTTTTCATTCAAGGCTCTAAACCCGAGCTCCGAACCCGTTTTAAGTGGGGTGAAAGCGACGCATTTGTGTGAATTTATTCACTGCATATGCCAAGCAAGTAGCCTTGGGGATTCATATACCTTAGGTCTTCGTGTGAATTTATTCTTCGCATAGACATAAGGGAATGTGTCCTCTCGAGTTTAACTTAGTCCACACAAGCATGTGATGGGTTTAGGACTAAGGGTCTGGTAAGCCCAAGGGGGCACCAGCAAGGAGAACTCGGGTACCATTTTTTAGAACCTAAACCGGGAGAATTTGAAGAAATAGAGCCTACCCCAAAACCACATTCCAAAACCTAGGACATTTCTTTCCTAACCATGTTTTTTTTCTCTTATGTTTTTTCTTGCCATTTATTTTTTTTATTATTATTTTTTTTATTTTTATTTTACTAACTGTTTGCCTTTGTGTTTGTTTTTAAAGCATTTGCATCATAACAAGAGGTCATTGATCCCTAAAAAGGTGTTTGTTACACAAAATAATCTGAATTAATGGATAAAGGTGTTGTAATACAAGAGATTAAAAACCCCGAGGTACGACTATGGTCTAAGAAGACTCAGAAGGAAAATGGAGATAGTCTTCAAGGAAGTTATGTGTCAGAGCTGGTTAGCTACGCCTTTATCAGCCTAAAGCAGAACGACATGCAAGAGCTTTGGGACATCTGGGGCAGTTGGAAGAATGATCAGAAACAGAAGTTCAGCCAACGGTATGGTGACATTGCATTGTTGCTTCAAATCAAGACTGATGAGCCCTTGATCAGAGCCTTGGTTCAGTTCTGGAACCCGAGATACAGTTGCTTCACTTTTAATCAGGAGGACATGGTGCCCACCATTGAAGAGTACACTACACTGTTGCACTGTGAAAATATCAGACTGGAGCGAGCTTATATTAAACACATCAAAAGTCAGCCTTTCAAGAGTGCACTAGCCAAGGTTGCTGGGGTTGACGAAAGATGGGTAACAGACTGAGCTCGATGTAAAGGCAGTGGGGAAGGAATTGGTTGGCTTCATATCAAACAACTGATGAAGGACCATCCCGATGAATGGAAGGTAATAGACCTGTTTGCACTGGGTCTGTATGGCCTGATTATATTCCCGAAGACTTTGGGGTACATTGACGCAGCCGTGGTGGAACTGTTTGAGCAACTTTCGAAACGAGTCAACCCAGCACCGACCATCTTAGCCGAGACCTTTTGGTCTCTCAACCATTGCCGAAGAGCTGGCGGAGGTAGATTCATTGGGTGTGTTCAGCTCCTTCAAGTCTGGATTCACAACCACTTCTAGAAGACTAATAGGGTTGCCTACCGCCGATTTAGCACTACGTATTCACCTTTGAGAGAGTTCATCACTATGAAATGGCATGAAGGCGCTTCAAAAGAGAAGTGGATGAAAGTCTTCACTCATCTCCAAGATCAGGATATTACCTGGAGAGCCCCCTGGTTGTTCCTCAGTGACGTTCTTTTTCGATGTAGGGACTCCGACACTATGACCTTACTTGGACTTTGGGGTGCAGTTGGGTATGCTCCGTTGTTAGCACTTAGACAGTATGGGGCACGTTAGTTTGTCCCAGCAACATGCGGACTAGCCAGATCAGAGTTTGAGTATCACGGTGATAACTATAAGAAGATGATCAAGGAAGCAGTCGATTCATGGAAGAAAGTATTCCGGATGGATGTTGTAGCTGCCAGAAACATGCTTACTCTGGACTATGTGGAGTGGCGAAGATTGAGAAAAAATGACAATATCCCGGTGCCAGACTGTGAGGACACCCGAACCCTGGAAGAACATCTCAGGCCCGTCTTTTCTGAACTTGAGATAGCCAAGACAGAGTTTGAAGCTGTGAATAACGAGCTGAAGCAGAGGGTAAAGGAGCTTGAAGCTGAGCGCTATTAGTGGAAGCTAGATGCCGACTCTCAGAAAGATCGAGCAGACAAACTTGAAAAAGAACAGAAAAAAGTCTGTTTTGAGCTCGAAGACTTGAGAAATGGGTATCAAGATAAAGTCAATGATAACTCCAAGTTGAAAATGGCTTCTGAATACTGGAAAGACGAAGCTCATAGCCTGAAAAGAAAGTTCGAAGGGCCTGATGAGAGAGCTTGGAAGGAACAGATGAAGACTGCCCAAAGGCACTTAGCAGACAGTCAGCATCAAAACCAATGCTTGAGAATCCAGATGGCTGATCTGGAGAAACAACATGAGAGAGATGGAAAAACAATAGCTGAGTTAGAAGCTATTGTAGATGGGTTCAAGAATAAAGTGACCAAGCTTCAGATAGTTCTCTTCGACGGAGGTTTACAGTGGTGTTTCCGTTGGGAGCAAGCACAACAAAGGGTGAAGGCCAGAGACGCAGTCATCCGAGACTTCCTGGATCAAGTACAGAAGGCAGCTCATCATCTACACGGCCTGGAAAGGGAAGTTGGAATGGTCCGACAAGGCATACAACCAGTGACAGATGAAGACAGAAGACTTGTCAACCTACTAGAAGTTGTTCGGGGTCTAGAGAATTTAGTCCGAATATACCTTTGATCGTTTTTATGTCTCTTACAAGATAAAACATTTTTGTCTAAGTAAAGATTATTTATAATAATGGACACTTTTCTAGATCAATGCCTCGAACATTTCATGCATTCTTGCATTTTGCATTTTTGCATCTTCATCTACATTTTTAAGCATTTTCACAAACATGAAATTAAGTCATGAAGGACTCGATGAAGTGGATTTAACCACATGGAAGCAAGATTGTAACATTAAAGAGCCTGATTAGCTGAT